AATAAAAAAAAAAAAAAAAAAATCAAATTGATTTAACATTTACAAATGTATACTTATATATATCAGCGGTTTATTGTAAATATACTATGTTTATTTTTGATATAGGTTAACTTTCAAATATGATTTTTGTGAATTTCAACTTTACTTTTTTATATAATATCACTGTAAATGCATTGAACTGACACAAATCCGTTTATATATCGCATACAGTATGGTATGGTAATATTTGTCTTTCAAAAACTTATATTTTTGGGTAATTATTAGAATAAAAATTATATACTACATCAAGCGCACAACTTTCTGATTCCATAAAGGGATTAATTATTTAAAGTAATGAAATGTCTTTTTGCTATAAACCTACTTCATATTAATTAATTAATGGACAAGAGGACTGTTGTTTAATAAATATAATACATAACATATTAATATATTTGTAAATTAAGTAATGGGATGGATAAGAAGAGTTTCGTCACGGTCACTGGACCGGTAAGGTCCAAGGTTGTGGAACAGGTTGTCACTGTTCCAAACAGAGACTCTGAGACACGTCACTGCTCCACCAGTACCGTCACATCCCTAGGTGTATATTTGTTGTTTTTAGTGAGGTTATGCAATTGTTTGATTTATTTATAATTTCTGGTAATAATAGTTTATTTATTTTAGGGTTTTATTTGTCTATTCAGTTTTTTGTTGAGTTTTAACTTTCATAAAGTTTAAGCTTTTTATGAAAAAAATACAATGATGTATTCTTCCATATATTCTTTAATTAAGTAGTTAAGATTATCATCCATGATATGTAGAACAGTCGACTAACTTACTTAAATTGTTGAGGTTATGTTTGGTTTGACGGTATTGTGGTGCTATTTTGTTAATAATTTAATTTATTTTTTTGTTGATTAGCCAGTAAGATGTATGTAGAAAATATGTTGTGGTATTTGGTTATTTTTTATATTTTACTTGAGATAGTATATTTTTGATTTGCCGAAGGACCAATTGTTAATTAGTTTACAAATTAACTTGCTTTCTGCAATTTTTGAGTACATCAAAATATCCATTTTATCTTTTAAGATTTTGAAACATTTTTAATATGGTGATTGCCATTTTCCATATTGAACTTGATTACATCTTTTCTTCTTTTGTTAGGAAGTTGTTGAATTTATTCAGTGGTTGGCAAATTCTGATGGTGGGAAAATGGATCCCAAAATGTTAATTATATAGTCAAATGTAACAAATACAAAAATTTATTACGCATTCATGGAAGTTTTTATTGCCAACCATTGAATAAATTCAACAACTTCCTAACAAAAGAAGTAAACATATATTTTTTATATGTACACATTGTTTATTCAGATAAATAAAATGAATTATTGAGGTATCATTTAATTTTTCTTTCATCCTTATTAACTAATCAAAAACATTTAAAAAATGTTTGATAACACTGCCCTACACTTGTATTATATGCTGAACCATATGTTGATTCGACTTCACTAACCTTCCTTTTGATTTAAGTAAATTGTGATTAGTAATTTAAAGAATAACAAGGCGCCGGGCATTGATAGAATATCATACAAGTTTTACAAACATGCACCCGTTGTATTTTTGGGTAAGCTTTTTTCTCTTTATAATCAAATTTATGAGACTGGCGAAGCTCCGGTAAATTTACAAATTTTCTCTTTTTAAGCGTAGTGACATCGATAATGTTCATAATTATAGGGGTATATCATGTTTGAATGCATCTGTGAAAATTTTTACTGGTCTTCTTTTGCAACGTTTGGAAACATTTGTCACAGAGAATGAGCTTCTCAGTCAGTACCAAACAGGTTTTAGACGCGGGTACTCAACAATTGACAATTTATTTGTTTTGGTAAATATTATAAAAATTAAACTCCTTAAAAAAGGACAAAAAATCTTTGCACTTTTTGTAGATTTCAAAGCAGCGTTTGACAGTATCTCTAGAAACTCAGATTTTGAAATTATACAATTTGGGTGTCTCAACTAAATTCATTAATGTCCTAAAAAATATTTATTCACAATCGGAATCGGCAGTTCATAGTGCAGAGGGAATTACCGAATTTTTTCCTGTGAATAATGGGGTACGTCAGGGATGTTTACTCAGTCCACTCCTCTTTTCGTTGTATTTAGATGATCTTCCACTTATGCTTGAAGGAGGAGTTCGTATAGGCGGTACCCGTATCAGCGATTTAATGTATGCTGATGACATTGTGCTGCTGACTGAAGCTAGGGTTACACAGTAAAGAAATATACACCTTTTGGCAGCCTATTGTTATAATTGGAATTTGATAGTAAATCTTTCTAAATCAAAAATTATGGTTTTTAGGAAAAGTGGAAGACAGGCTACTGCAGATAAATGGTGATTTAAAGGTTTACCAATAGAAGTAGTCAATACTTATAAATATTTGGGTGCCACGCTAAGCTCCAGTCTTTCATTTACTTATGATTTGAAAGATCGTATATCGTATATCGCAAAAATGGGCCTTAATAGGAATTGGTCAAGTTTCATTGCTCAAGATCTGATCCCACTATCCGCCAAAAATCAAATATTTGATGCAATATTACGCTCCATAGTATGCTATGCGGCTCAAGTCTGGAGTTTTCAGGGATATGACATATTGGAAAAGTTTCAGAGAAATTGTTTTTGTTGCCTTCAACAACACCAAATAATATGATTTATTTAGAAACAGCCACAAATCCACTTGAAGTGTTCACTTTACAGTTACATTTTAAGTAATGTCTTAAGTTACTGTGCCTGCCTAAAAGTCGTCTCTCCAGAGTTATCGCCATTGAAGTGATTAAACGTAATACCTTTTGATTTAAAAATTGGTACAATTTAGCGGAAAGATACTCTTGCAGGTTCGACAGGTCTTTGGAATGCATTTTCTTATGGAAAGACCAGTTGGCAACAATACGGTCTGCAATCACTCAGCAACATTGAGAGCAGTGAAAATTAGTGGCATTGAATTCTGAACGATTTCTATTATATAGGGAATTGAGTCACGATCTTAAAATTTTGAAATTCATAAATGGCTGCTGTTGGGATTTGACAGGGCACGAGTTGAGTTGGTTGTTCAAGCTCAGGTGTGAAATCCTTTATTTGAATTACATCCATGGCTTGACAGGGAATATATGGATTGTCCACTCTGTAACCTACCAGTAAAGGAGGACCTGTTCCATTTTCTGGCTGAGTGTTCAATGCTTGCTCAAATTCGTATCGAATTTCTCGGAACAAGCCCGGTCCGAAATGATATTATTGTAATGGTAAAATTGTCGGTTTTGCTTGACATGTGTGGAAACACCGTTATAATTTGCTACATCCAGCATTAACAATGATCCGTCTAATTTATTTGTGGTCAGTTCATTCAGTGCTATTGTTTATTATTTTCCTTAATTATTATTTCTTAGACATAAATTATTCAAAATATTTATTATTTTACATTGTGTTAGTTGTTTTATTATTTATTAGTCATTCATGTATATGCAGCTGTTATAAGGTCTTTATTTGTACTGTACATGTAAAACATAACATTTCCAGCAGACGAGTAATCATGCCGTATAAATGTTCTTTGTATTTTGGAAATTTATAATTTATACATATTTAATAAAGTATTTCTCATTCAAAATTCATTCATTCAATGCCCTACAAAAAAAATATTTTTTTGTAAAATGAAAGCTGTTTCTCTAATACTAATACACAACTAATTTTGGTGTGAGAAACTCGAATTTTCTGTCAGAATCCTTATATTAGCAACCGTTCTATGGATACGTATACCCAGTATCGAATACAAAAAATTAAGTTATTGGAAGTTACACAATCATTTTTTGTACTTTAAAAGAGCTTTATTATTTGTGAAATACTTTTACAACCCACAAAACATTAAATCACAACTTCTTTGCTTGACGATTGTACTGGTGTTCTGGCAAATCACTCACAACATTCCAACAGTAGTCTGCGAACATTGAAGTATCCCACCGACCTTGGTATATTCATTCAATCGAGGAAATATCTTGATGAAATCGCTCACCATGTTCATCACTTTTTGAGACCATCCACAATTTTCGGGTAAGAAGTCCAAATGAGAGTGAAGAAAGTGAATCTTGAGAGACATGTTACGACCAAGATCTTCTCTGTACTTCTCAAGGAGGGTTTGGACTAAGACAGCACAATTGTCCTCTCTTTTGTTACCCAAGAAACCATTAACTAAAGCTGTAAATGCTTCCCATGCTGCTCTTTCTTTACCCTGAAGAATATTCAAAAATTCCTCATCATTACGAAGCTCATGGATTTGTGGACCAACAAATACATTCTCTTTAACCTTAGCTTCACTTAAGCGAAGAAATTTTCCTCTCAAGTACCTGAATGCCTCTCCTGATTCATCTATTCCTTTGACAAAATTTTTCATGAGCCCTAACTTTATATGTGGAGGTAAAATGATTTTTCCAGGGCCCACAAGAGGGTCGTAGAGAACATTTTTTTGTCCAGGGGTCAGGACTTTTCTTTGAGGCCATGATTTCCTGATGTAATGAGATGCTCTGGTTGAGAAATGGTTCTGTGATTCACAGTTAGTCGTTTCCTGCGATTCAGACAGAAATCAATCCTACCAACCCAGGAGCAGAATTTCTCCATATTACGCAAAAAGCAACTATATCTTTAAAACTAGAGCTAACTGATGATTTTTATGTGCATTACACTATGTTGATACATAATGTGATATTATGTGTAAAATTTGAATTTCTCAACCAAAAAACATGGAATGAGGCTGTTTTCAAGGGAGATACAAAATCAATATAATCAATGAACCTTCCTCCCCCTCATCATTATCCCAGGTGATTGAGATTCCACTGTAATCTAAATCTCATAATGGTAAGCCAAATAAAAAGTTCTTTCTCTAGCCAAATTTGAAAAAACAACTGAGCATTAAGTAAAAACAAATTTTAATGATTATATAAAATTATAATACTTTTTTAATTATTGATAATAATATTACCTTAGCTGGTTGAAAGTTGGTTTTATCCACCACAGAAGCAGCTTCTTCAAGCCCTTTTTCAACAGCAACCTTCTGCTTACCTTTTCTACAGGGTCTGTCAGTTTTGGGAATAACCTTCCCAACCTTAGCCCGTGGATTCCAAGGGATATCCTTTTCCTGATTAGGTAAACGATATCCCTGAGCTTCATCATCCGTTAGTATAAGGGATGGATAAACTAATAAAAATAAAAAACTTTATTACTAAAATATAATTTTAGTAATTATAATAATCAAATTAGAAGTCAATCCTATTTATCAGAGCATAGTGAACAAATAAATTCATGATATCATTTATTAAAACCATTTAATAGAATTATAGATCTATTTACTAGAACAGATTGAGTAGTCCAGTCAACAAAGAAGATGTAGAGTGCACAGAGAGAGAGAGATTTGACCTTTGGGACTAAGCTGGAAGTACCTTAGTGGTAAAAATATTACAGGACCTTGTTGTTACACTTTGTTTTTTTTATTAACTAAGATTTCAACAACTTTTTTTTAAGTGTATCTTTTTCTATTTAAGTGATTGGGTTTTTAAATATATATATATTTTTTTTTATGAATAGGAAAAAGATCAAATGTTCATATGGATTTTGCATCATTCTACCGCTGAAATAGCAATTCCAGCAACTAAAGAATTGAACCTCTTCATAAAGACACTATGATTCATGGGCCATTCAAGCTCAGGCAATTCTAATCAGAAATAAGAGGAATATGTGCTAGGAGACACTCTTCCCAACTGATAAGGAGGAAGCCAGCAAAAAGAAGTGGACCCAAGAAGATTTAAATACCAGGTCAGAACTTTTTATGCCTTCATGGAGTCAGTAGACAAATTAAAAGATATAGCTATTGAAATTAATGACCACCTTGTATCAATAATGATACTACAGAGCTTGTCTTCTAATTTCGAAAACTTTAGAGTTGCTATCGAGAGTAGATGTACTCTTCCTAGCCCTGAAGATTTAAAAATTAAAATTTTAGAAGAGGCCGAAGCCCGGAACTCCTCTGGCCTTTCCTCAGTCAATACAGAAGAAGCTTTTTTTGGTCAAATAAAAAACAATTGAATAAACCCAAATTCACAGCCTAACTCTTCAAACAAAAAACAAAATGTAGAATTTGTAAGAGAAATAACCACAAGACATGACAATGTTTTTATAGAAAAAGGTCTGACTCAACCTTTAAAGTGGAAGAGGAGTGTCTGTCAGTTTCAGATCGAGTGTCTTCTGCTACTTGGTGTCTGGACTCAGGCAGCATATCTCATATGTGATCGGATCAAGACAAATTTTCTTATCTATCAGAATCAAGTAACAAACTGAGACTTGTTTCAGATAAGACAACAAATATCAAAGATAAGGGTTTAGTTAAAGTAAACTCAGAAAATTATCAAATCATAAACCTAACTAATACCTTGTTTGTGCATTACTACTGTGTAGTTGTATTAATAGATGTAAAAGTGTTATTAAATTAAATCTAAAATATTGTAACAACAAAATTATGAAGTGTTTATTAAAAATGTTGTTTACAAATATTTGTTCACAATAGAAACACCCTGCACATATAGAGTTGCAAAGCAAATTTACTCTTACTAATTTACTGTACTAAATGCATTTTATGTCAGAAGCAGGCTCAGGATTTAATAGTTAATTTAATAAATCAATTAAAAATTTTATTGATGGTAGACAAACCTCCCCAAAGAAAATTATTAAAATTCACTGGTCAAAAATATGTTTTTTTCACAATGAACTAGAGAACTTATTACACGTATTGGAATTCTTTAAGTGTTTTTATCATATATAATCATTATATTTCATAGGAGTGAGGAATGGAACTCTAAAAGCAGTTCCACTGGACTGTTCGGGTCCAAGATAGTATTTAATGACATCAAACAATTTACTTCTAGAAAAGTATGGACGTGCTTCAAAATATGCTATATAATAAATATAACTTATTTAAGAATTACTTATAAATTTAGTATATACTATTTGTATGTAGATACATAAATATTGTAAAAATTTAGGACACTAGAATAATAAATAAAAGTTAAGTTATTCTGAAAAATCTCGGAATTAACACATAAAATTATAATTGCTAATTTAATGGTTATAATTGAAATTATAATTGCTCTAACTTCAGATAAGACAGTAAAATAGTTCTTGAAGAAAACTTATTGCTTAACAACTTTCTTTCTCAAATATTTTTTGTAGAATAGACTTATCAGCTTTAATTTTGCATAGAATATCTTTATATGTTCAGATGTATGGTTTTCCAGATATAAGGGCCAAACCAAAAAATGTAACCTTGTGGGTGCCCTCCCCCCTACATCTGGCTCCCTTCCTAGGAGTGAGGACTTTAATATGTTTACCTCCTAACAAGTCCTAATAAAGTCCTAAAGTCAAAAATTGTGTTACTTCCATTTCCTTCTATATCCTTTTTTTAGCATTCATTGATTGGACTAATGAAGTGTGTGGTAAAAAGCAAACTGAACAGAAAGAATTCTCACTTAATCAAAGTGAAAATTAAACCAATTTAGATTTTTAAGAGTACATCACCAAGGCACAGTAAAGAAACAAAAAAAAAAGAGTATCAAATTACTTTCACAACAGCGAATTCTTACTGTCTTGTCCCAAAGAGTGACAGCCCTGGTCCAAAAATCGACCTCATCGCAGGCAAAAGTTTGATTGTAAATAATGCAAGTGTATATTATTCTTAGTATAAAGAACCTTGTCTGCTGTTCCAGTGTGTGAAAAGTTGAAGTGAAATGTGAGAAAAGTTTTTATTTTTTTTAACTTGTATATATGGGTTTAGACATGTAAAAAACAAAATTGCTAACGTGGGCCACCAAGGAAAAAATTTTTAGAGGCAAAAAAGTCAGATTTTTTCGATATTTTTTTCATTCATAACTATTAAATGATGCATCAAAGCGAAAAGTGTAGTCTTTAAATTAAAGAAAATTAAATTTTGCTTCGAATGAGTACATAAACTTCATAATTTGGTTAAGTGTAAGGTATAAAACCACAGTCCCTCAATGCTGATTTTTAACAAATCTGTCAAAAAGTGAGACAAATTACCATAAATGGCCCTATAATTTGGAAATGGTTATAGGTTCCCTAAGAGGAAAAACCTATAGAATCAAAGTTGTTGAGCATCAAATTTTGCATCCACTGAATACTAATATTTTATTTTTGTCCAATTATGTATCTCGAATCGGGATTCATTAATCTTTTATGAAATTCGGTATCTTTTGAAACATCGTTTATCAAAATCCTACGCTGCTGAGAGGTTGAAAAGAGGCTTATACTCCATGTAACATACTCTAAACAAAAATAATTCAGTAGAATAGATACCCATACTGTTGAAATATTGAAAATCGCGTTTACCTTCATTACCAATTTCTAACCTTCGGGAGATTACCGATTTTGTTTGAAGTAAATGGCCTACATTAAAATAGTCTGTAATCACTGGATTCAAAATTTGATGCTCTACAACTTCGATTCTATGGGTTTTTCCTCTTAGGGAATTCATTTCCAAGTTACAGGGCCATTTATAGTAATTTGTCTCACTTTTTGACAAATTTGGTAAAAATCAGCCTTGGTTGATCGTGGTTTTATACCTTACTACGTAACCAAACTATAACGTTTATGTACTCATCCGACGCAAAATTTAACGTTCTTTAATTTATTAAAGGGCACATTTTTCAATTTGATGATTTGTTTAGGAGTTATGAGAGAAAAAACAAAAAAATCTGACTTTTGTGGCTGTAAAAAGGTTTTTCTTGCTGACCCGTGTTAAACATTTTGTTTTTTACATGTCTATACTCATATATACAAGTTTAAAAAATAAAAACTTGTCTCACATTTTTCGCAACGCATTTCCCGCATCGATCTTCAAATTATTGGCGTAATATTATTTAAATCAGCCACCATTTTTCAAAGCAGCGGCTATGGAATGGCAGACAAGGTTCTTTTTACACAGAATAATACACACTTTCGTAATTTACAATCAAACCTTCGCCTGCGATGAGGTCGATTTTTGGGCCCTGGCTCCAGGGCTTTGACATTAACTTTTAAAGATAAGACTTACTTTATATAGTTTACTTATGTGCTGTGACTATCTGCTTGAACTAGCTAATAAATAACATGTAATTTAATACAAATATTTTTTATTTATTTTCATTACTTGAAGTTTTAATACTAATGGCAAAGTAAATTTTTACTGAATAGTAAAATCAGTTATAAAGCCAACTTACAAACTTAAGAATGTTTCAAAAGTCAGCCTAAATTCAAATATGCTGCTTATAATTTAAACACATTTTAAAATTTAAGGATCTTACTGTATTCCTCATCTTGATGCACCACAACAGATTTAGATGATGTACTAGTGAAATGGACAGTTTCTTCTTTACCTGAAGTATTAGAAGTTCCTTGTGGTTCATATTTGGCTGTGGATGATGAATATAAACGCATATAGCGCTCATGGCTAATTGTGATGCGAGTATACTTCCTGAAAAAATTTATTTTATTTAAAATAGAAGACCAACATTTTAAGAATTATCAATAATATGTTTTGCAAACTTAAAAGTATACAAATGGAATAATTTCAAGTATAATTGTTAAGATATGTAAAATAAGGTTATTTATATATGGTAGTACTGTAAGTAAGGATAACAGAGTGTGAGGTTATATGAATCTAGATGTGTAAGCTTGTTAATAAAATGTGTAAGCTTGTTAATAAAACATTTAATCATCTTCTAGTGATTATTATTTAAATAAAAGACATACAACAATAATAAAAGGAATAACCAAGTTTTAGATATTCAATGAACTGTTAATATTTTTTAATTGTTGTAGGCAGTTAGTTTTACCACTATTCACAGTAATTTTATGACACAATCAGCCACTGGCCCTCCAGGTAAGGGCATCTACTCTAATACCATAAACACAAAATAACACCAAGGTCATTTACAGTACACACATCAGGCTGGGCATAGGAATTAATTTCTCCACCTGACTGACACCTAGTACTAGGAACAGTGCACACTTCTCCAGATTAGCAACTGGAGGTGCACAGATCACTAATGCACCCAACAGGACAGTATCTCACAAGTTTACTACATCTACCCAGTGCCCCACAGCCGAATCAGCCCTTTCAAGTCAAAGGAGGCCATCCGAAGTAAGCATCAAATCTCTATTTCTGATCTGTCTCTATTCAAGGCACCCTCTATTTCTGGGCACCCAATGGGTCATAACCACCTAGTTAAGCAAGAGGGGATGCACATAGCAACATTATGGAACCAATTAGGGAGAGTGTGATCCGCTGTACACTAATGATGGGCAAAACTTTTTGAGTAGTGGTAAGTAACAGTTTTTGCTAATTTCAAGAAACAGTTAAAAAACGAAAAACTATTTCAAACCTAAATAACGTTTCTAAATTTTAATTTATAATAAGATTAGGTTTTAAAAAAAGAAAGAAATGTATTTGTATTAAGAGCTTTGAATATTGTTTGGGGTTTTTCAGTTTGTAATATTATTGTTACCTTTTCACGATTTTATAAAAACTTTGGTACTGTTGATAATGAATAATTAATTTCCAATGAATATAATTTTAAATTTAATCCCTAAAGAAATAAGGCATAATTGAAAAATTACATTCTACCTACATAATAAATAAAACTTTTGACAAAAATAAAAAATTATTTCTGCCAGCAGTAATAGATGTAAAAAATCAAACTATTATTAAAGTTTTAATTCCAAATCATAACATGTTACTTATAAAAGGCAATAAGTAAATTTATTGATGAAAAAAGAAGAACAAATGGTAATTAGCTAAGAGAAGTTGTTGAAAAAGTTTATTAAACAATCAACTACACAGCTATTTATAGTAGTCAATTTCTCTTCAAATTCTTGTCTGGGATGTCCTACTGACTAGGAAATTCCATGTTGCTACCTGAGAATGTGGTAGGTTTAGGCTGGAGGGAGGCGGATGCCCCAAAGTTACTATCTCCTATAACTCGACGCTGGATCATCGTAGAGACTCGAATTTTAACTCAAATTGTGTATATTTTAATGCTGAGAAATTTTTGTTATTACATATTTTCTGATATTAATTAAGCGGAATGAGCAAATCAAGAACAGAATTTGCACCTCCACTTTTTTTTTTCTTACATTATATAATAGAAAAAAAGAATTTAAAAAACTTTCCTTAATTTTACATGTAATTTCAAATTCTGCAATGCGCAAGTTATTGGTTTTTTTTCCCAAATTAGAATCTCTATTTTTTTATTTTTTTTTTCATATTCAGAGCATTTTCTGAAGTTCATATCAAAGTTTCTGAAGAATTGACATCTTATTTGAGTTATAATGTTGCGCCTAGCATGTGCTAAAAGCAGTGTTGGGCAGTTACTCAAGTAATTATGCAATGGAGACGTCAAGAGTGATCACTCTTAGAAGCTTAGCCATGAGTAACTTACTCATTTACATGGATTAAATTAAATAGTAAATTAAATTAGTAGTAGCTACAAATTTTATTTATTTTGATAAAATCGATAATTATTTACTCTATGTTTTTCTTTGTTATCACATTCTCATTTTAATTCACATAATTATGATTGTCCCCTTCCTTTCCGAACTTTCCCTAAAGTACATCCTTCCTCTTCCTTGTATGACTAACTAGCTGCTGTACCCGTCGTTGATGGATGTATATTTAAAATTTGAGAATATTTTTTTGAAATGGATTATATATTATGGGGGAGATCCAAATTTAATTTCATAAAACTGGGTGTGGGAGGGGGAGGATGAATTGTTTTGAATCAACCTCAACCTGAACAGCTCTATTCCTGAGGAGGTCTTTCGACCTAACTTTCCTTTTAAGTTTGGCTGCTTTGGAAATTGAGCTTAAATTGGACTTTTTTTCAGGCATAAATTTAGTTTAGAGATATCCAATTGTCGATTAGTAGTATTGTTGAAAACTTTGATTTTACAGATAGTTCAGGAACGGATGACTGAGTTTTAACTGTATGTTTAATATTGGTGAACGATAAATACCTTTATATTTTTTAAATTATATTTTTATTTAAAGCATGTGACAACGGAAGTAGCAATTCATTGGCTGGCAAGCACCAGTTCGTCCTGGAGAAGATATCTAGCCGCTAGAATACAAAATGGCGGCCATGTGACAATAGAAGAGATCTTACATAGGTTGCACGCGTATATATAGAGAGAGCTTATGGATATATAAAGCTACTAACACTTTCAATTTATATTATTTACAGTCTTAAGACCTGAAATAAAAGTCAGTTACCCCATACTCCTAGATTTCAAGTCGAAAAATTGAATTTACTTTTATCGGTTTTTCGCTTATATCAGTAAAACTATGCGTCATAGTGTAATATGTGAAATCAAAGCTGACAAAATTTGCAGTAAAATAGTTTATTCGCTATATTCTATAGTTTCCATTATATTCGCCCTTGTAAATCACTAATTTCGAAAAAAAAAAATTTTGCGTCGCATTTTTATCATTATTTGACTCGCCAACTCTTAATCTTTTCATTTTACGAAAAAGGCATGAGTAAGAAAGTTGTTTAATATTAAATTTTCTTTAAGAATATACCGGACCGATTTTTTTTCAAATTTGGATATAAAATCAGAGGTCACCTGAGGATGATCCTTGTTTATCGACATTACTACCCGCCTTTTACTTTCAAAATGGCGGTCGAAAAACCTGCGTTGGCGATACGGCCGTTGACTGTAGCGCCTAAACGAATGTACTTATTTCAATGAAACTTCGCTAAAGTCATTTTCTCGACGTCCTTAAATTTATCTATATGACATATTTCAACGAAAAGAAGCTGAGAAAAAAGTTACGAGGGATGGTAAAATTAAATTCCGAATAACTCAAAAAGTTTACACTCTTTTGTCGATATTGTGATAGGATGTTTCAAAGGTATTTATATTTTCTAAAAAATGAAGGAAGTTTCATTGAATGGTTTTTTAAAATTTTACAGAATTTTCTAAAAAACAAAAAAAAATCGTTAAAATCAGACAATTAGGAGCAAAGATATGGTCTCTAGATTTTTTTATATGTTATTCTGTAAATGTTATATCCTTTGTTTTGGTTTTTAAATTTTGAATGTGTTAATGAAGTAATGCCTTTTTTTTTTTTTTTTAAGCATATTGCTAATTATTAAAAAAAAAGTTTAATCCAATAATTGGAATCACCTTTTATTTATTTTTCTTTGTAACTAGGAAGGTAATGTTACTTTAGATGTATAATTGTTTAGAAATAATAAACCATTGTGAAATAATTTGCGGCGTTTTTTTATTTGGGTCCACCCCTCGACATTGAGACTATACAAAGCTTTTCCTTGGTGGAAAACGGAAACTCCCCCGGTATATTTATCTCATATTTATTTTATCATGTAAACTTGAGTTTATAAGGTTGTTAGGAAACGTGTTTTACAAGGCTTTAGTCCCCTCAGGTCCAGTCAATCAATGCCCGAAAAGGGAGTAATAGAAAGAAGTGGCGGAGACTCAAATTTATTTTTCTTCAAAATTCGCTATAGTTGAAGATAGATATCTCTCTAACTAAGCAACATAGCGAAAAAATGTATAGAATCAATCGTATTGCAAATTTTATCAGCTTTAATTTTGTATAGAACGTTTTTGTTGATGCTAATGATAGTTTTCCTGATATAAGTGAAACCCCGCAAAATGGGACCTTCAAGGGGCTTCCCTCCTCCTCCACCTGGCTTACCACCTAGGAGTGGGGACTTTTAGTATTTAAGTTATGAGAATTCCTTAGCTAAATCTTTTTAATTATATCTATATTTTATGGATATTCTTCCAATGCTTAAATAGTCTTAATTATCTTTATGGAGATCCTCATTTTAGTCGACTTATAAATTAAGTTTTAGTGTTTAATTCTATAAAAAAGAAAGAGTTATAGAGCTTTGGCTGGACTCCAAAGTTTTCAATGGAATGTTTTCATTAGTCATTATACACTGACAGGCAAAAAATTCCACCAACTTGATTTTTAGAAGAGAATTAGAAAATGTGGTTTTTAAGTTTATAAATTCTTAAGATGGGAAATTCTATTCCGAGGTAATGGAAAAGTTGCCAACAAGTTGGCAGAAATGTATTGATAGTAGTGGAGACTATATTGATTAAATAAAACAGTTGTAAAACAGCTTTCTTTTTTCTTTTTAAACCAAAATCCTTCATTATTTTTCGGAAAACCCAATATTACCGTGGTCTGTTTCAGGAAAATATTTAAAATTAAGTAGTTTCACTCTTTTTTTATCAGTATTATTACAGTCAACACCTTCTAACCTCTACTAAATGTCTTGCATTATCTTATGTTTGTTTAGTCTTGATTCAAACAGTTAACTACATCTGTTTAAAGAAAAAAAACAGTTTCAAATAAACAGATTGCTACTAAACACCTCACCATACCACTAATGTACACCCTCTTTCAACATAAATGGGACAAGGTGTCAAAATGTCTTGTCACATTTTTACTCCAGGAAGAAAAAGGACGATAGACCAGTTCTCTCATGTGATACACATACAGCTGAAGTTAGCAGTATAATCCCTGCCTGAAATCTTTTGAATAAGAACTATCTTAGAGAAAGCAAGAGAGTACAGTATTACCATGCGCCATTTTTAATGACTTTCATAGGAACTACAATAGTATTATCAGGGAAGTGATGTATCAAAATGTACTCAAATTAGTAACTCCCATTAAGCTAGTTTGTTTAATAAAAATCTGGTGCCGTGCACACCTCACACAACTTTCACTTATCACCCTATTTTAGCAGAAATAGGTATTTTCAGACAAATGGAAGTGAATATTAAAATTACAGGCAGTACAAAAATGAAATTTAAAACAACTAATTACCTTCTTTTTTTTTTTTACCGCCGTCTAATGTAATATATTTATTTTTTTTTTGTCATGAACAATTTCCCGCCATCTTCAGTCATACAAAATGCCTCATATATAAGACCCTCATTAGGCCTCTTCTCACATATGAATCGGAAAGCTGGACCCTCTCTAGCAAAGAAGAAAAAGATTTACTAATCTAATTTCTTTAGATAGTAGTTAGTCTGCCAAGGACTAACAGAGACCTATATGATCTGTATAGGTAGACACATGTGTTGAGGTGCATCAAGCTTGGGCGACTACGTTGGGCTGGCCAACATAAAAATGGCAGAAGAGGAAGTCCCAAGGAAGTTGCTTGATGGGAAGATTAGCAGGACAAGAGGGAAAGACAGGCCAAGCCTAAGATGGGAGGATGGCGTCATCCGGGACGCCAGAGAAGTATTGCATACTCTCAACTGGAGAGCGACAAGATAGAGCCATCTGGCGAGGGCTCATTGAGGCAGCCAAGGACCACACCAGTCTGTAGCGCCATGGAGTTAGTTAATAATTTCCTGTATTTTTTTAATTACTTACTTGATTATAATAAATAATTAAGTGCCACGAAATATGTTTAGTTCCTTAAGAGTGCCACTAATAAAGAAAGCTGCTTTATTTATTTATGTCTCATTGTAGGTATTTTTATATATTTAAGCATTGGTATATAAACAAATTTTAATTTTTATATTGCTGTAATCTATATGATTAAATATTAATGCATTATTTATAAAAACCGCACATGTAAATGTATATAATATTATCAGAGCCCTTATTATATTAAACACATGTTATGTATGAAAGCCTATTCTAATCTTTCAGCCAATATCGGGTGTGTGCTTCTGCAGGCCAATGGAAGGACCTATCCTGGGAAGGATGAGGTTTTCCAAACCCTGACGGTGTGTGTACACCATCTGGTAATTACCTAATTCGGGTGGTCCCGTCCATCATCCCTTTATTTTATATTCATGGAGGAGAACAGAACTACTAAATACTAAATAATAAGAGTATTTAGGCAATTATTATTTTAAGTCCAACCTGTCCATGACTGCTCCCCTTGTCCATAACTGGTGCAATCACCCTAATTAGTAAAATCAATACATGTACAACAAAAATTTTCAATAAAGGATATATTTACAAAATGAATATATATTACAACCAACACATTTTACAACCTAAAGAATACAAAGTGGTCTAATTAAACCTCTTTTTTTTTTTGGTGGTCAATTATTTTATATTACTTACCTAAATCCAGTAAAAGGTATCCTTGAAAACAACGGGTAACCAGGAGGCCTAAAACAGAATGTTCCCAAGTATGAATAATTGTTTTTAATTAAAATAAACTTAATATTTTAATTAAATACATGTTTCACATTAAATACAAGTACAAAATAAAGATGAAAATGACAATTAGTCCAAATTTTAAATAAATTGAACAATTTAACGTGTAGCTTAGAAGTTATATTATCTCTGAAAAACAGAGATGAAAATAAAGAAAGTGCGATTGTTTCTGAGAGTTGGTAAAGAAGATCAAAGCTTGTCAGCATAGTCCATATTGTAGTGGTTTATATACTTACATTTTGAATGAAATACAATATATATATATATATATATATATATATATATATATATATATATTGTATTTCATTCAAAACGTAAGTATATAAACCACTACAAAACGGACTATGCTGACAAGCTTTGATCTTTTTTACCAACTCTCAGAAACAATCACACTTTATTTATATATATATATATATATATATATATATATATATGTATATATATATATATATATATGTATATATATATATATATATATATATATATATATATATATATATATATATGAAATACTCTAAACATATATTATCCTTATAAAATGATAAGCTTATAAAAACCTTAAATATACAATTTCACTTAAATACTACTTTTCGTTTTTGAGATAAACTGATAACATACACACAGACCATTTTGCAGGACTTGGTTACTTGGACTCAGGATACCTCAAAACATGTATTTCCGTTGAAAACTCAGATTCGAACATTTTCATGATCGCAATACTGTCCCTTACTATATATTTCATATATAGATAAGTAAAAGTAAAAATGAAAGCTTGATTAATTAATTAATAAGTTTAATGGAGTAATCACTGCGGTGCACAAGAAAGGAGAGCTGACAGAATATAGCAGCTATAGGGAGAGATCACTCTGCTGAATGTTACATATAAGATATTTGCTGCATTACTCCACAACTGAATTGCACCAATACATATTATAAAAGGGTGGTTGGTGAATACCAGTGTGGTTTTCAAAAATATAGACCAACCATAGATCACATTATGGCTCAACGGCGGGCTGATGAAAAGTGGGAGTATAATTCCCTGACTTTTCCCTGTTTAATGAAAGTTTTCCCTGACCAATATGTCAAGGGACACAATTGTTAAAAATATATAGTTTATAACTATTTAATTTATCATACATGATTGAAAATTGAAAGATTAGAGAAAAAAAAGTCTGTTCAGTCTTTTAAAAAACAAATATAATGTTCTAGAGGAAGCATTTTTTAAATATGATTAGGATTTTTTTTTTTTTAATTTTAGAAAACTGACCTTAAGTAATTTATTTTTATCACCTATTTATTAATACTTTAAGCCCTTTATTTTCATAAAGTAAGAGGATGTAAAAGTTGATACTTGACACTTTTATCTATTATGAAATAAACTGAATTACGGGCTATTCTTATTTTAATGAAAGCCAATATTTTTTTTTTATTGCCACAAACAGAACAATAATTATCCATACGATACCAATTGTGAGGCGAGATGGCCGAGTAGTTCAATCAATGAATGATTACAGAAGGAAATTGCAGGGACACAATTTTTAACTTTGATAAATTGTTTGGACTAGTAAAGAAATAAAAATACTAAAAGTGCCCATTCCTAGGTGGCAGCCATTTTGTATTCTAGCGGCTTAATATCTACTCCAGGACGAACAGGTACTTGCCAGCCAATGAATTGCTACAACCGTTGTCACATGCTTTAAATAAAAATCTAATTTAAATAATATAAAGGTATCTATCGTTCGCCAATATTAAACATACAGTTAAAAATCAGAAGGCAATTCAACTGTTCCTGAATTAATCTGTAAAATCGAAGTTTTCAACAATACTACCAATCGACAATTGGATTTCTCTAAACTAAATTTCTGGTTGCTGCAGAGTTCAAAACTGAATACAAAAAAAAAAAAAACTGCCATAAACGACCTCCATTGGCATCATACACAAACTGATTAGACGTATCACTTCCAGAGACTTTTGCAGTCTCGACTGAGGTCATGATTTTTCAATTGTATTTTTAGTATTAATAATTAATGTGTGAAATTAGTACTGAATTGTAGTTTCAATTTATTTATTTCTCGATCAATTAATGGGAGAACGTAACAAACTATTTATTAAAATAAGATTTTTATTAAGTTCGAATAGCGATGTGGTTTTATAGTTTATAACAATATTGAAGGACTTATAATAATCAAGGCTGCAGCTTACATTAAAATTTCTTTGAATTACAATATCGTATATAACGGTTATAAAGATGTACCGGCTTTAACAATGAAAACGCCATGTTCGATGATTCAGATGGCTTTTATAATGTGATTTTGAATGGATATAGCGATTGGATTTACTGACTCGATTTCTTAGAGTTTTTAGAAAAAATTATCGTAATAAAATCTGTTATTACTCTCGGATATTTCATGAATCTCTATTTCTTTATTATTTCACAGATAAAGTTAAAATTTCTATACTAGAAAATTTCTTCGTTTTTATCATACATTTTCTTTATGTTTTTATAAAATACATGTTTTTCTTTAATGAATTACGTTGTAACTGTGAACCATACATATGACACACACGCACAGCTACACAAACCAACAGAAACAAACTTACTGTGAATGTTGAGAGTCTTTGGATGGACCTGGCTGGTTTGAAAAAGGTTTTTTAGATGTACCAGGAAGGTTAAAGCTTGAAATTATCTCACATGAAGAATCTGAATCGCCTAGAATAAAACATTTATAATTAAAGTTTAAAAAATGTTGAGTAAAACATCTACAATTAAAGTTTAAAAAAGTAATCTGGTCGTAAGGCTGATATATGGGTCTTTGGAATCAAATGAGGGAAAGGTAAAGAGCAAAAAAATAATTAAATAAAATTTTCAAAAATAGTTAAACTCTACCAATCTCGTTAAATTATGTCATCAGGCCGATATATCGGATTTTAGGATATTGGTATAAGCTCAAATTTTGGGGAGGAATAAAAAAAAAATATATGGGTGTATATATAATAAAAATAATAATACTTTATCTTTTCTGGGACGAGTCCCTTTAGAATAATACAGGACAGAAATGTGGGCTAAGGAGCCTCAGAGATACATAAAAAAAAAAAAAAAATGATAAGTAATTATATTCATAATAAAAAAAATGCGATGTGGTTTTATAGTTTATAACAATATTGAAGGACTTATAATAATCAAGGCTGCAGCTTACATTAAAATTTCTTCGAATTACAATATCGTATATAATGGTTATAAAGATGTACCGGCTTTAACAATGAAAACGCCATGTTCGATGATTCAGATGGCTTTTATAATTTGATTTTGAATGGATATAGCGATTGGATTTACTGACTCGATTTCTTAAGAGTTTTTAGAAAAAATGATCGTATATAGCTTAATGGTGGAACTCGACAAGTAATAAGACAAACAAGAAGTTACTTTCTAACTTAAATCAGTTAATAATAAAAAATTGAAAATAAAGTGAAAATAATGAAGAACAATCTAATAATTTATATACATATTTACAGTGGTATCTATTTACAATTTTATAGGGACTGGATGGATAAGAAATGATTGAACAGGCAGGATTTAAAGGTAGGAAGGGTATTGGATTGACGGATGTTGGAAGGGATAGAGTTCCATAGGGATGAGGATTGAATAATGAACGATCTGTAGAAAGCAGCGATTCGGTGGGCCCTTAAGTATAAATCAGAAGATCTGGAACGAGTATTACGGGAACAGACAGAGGATTTGAATTGGAAGAGCTTGGAGATGTATGAAGGTCGGTGGGATTGGATGACTTGAAAGAGGAAGGATGCCAGGAAATACTTACGACGGTATGAAGGATAAAGCCACTTCAACTCTACATAAAAACAGGAAACAGAGGCGTTCCTTGGGATCCCAAAGATGAATCGTACAAAGCAATTTATCAAACTTTTTAGTTTCGTCTCAAGATCCCCAGATATGCTCTCATATACCGTATAGCAATAGCCAAAGTGGGGAAAAATTAAGGAAGTGACCAGGAGCCTACGAGTTTCAAGGGGAAATAGGCGACGGAAGTAGTTTAGACGTTTCAAGGAGGAAATGTACGGTGGGAGATGTTGGATGCTTGGTTTTCGAGGAAAGTGTTTGATTAAAGGTTATTCAAAGGTTTTTGATTGAGGGATAAAATTTGAAGGGATTATCATGTAGTAGTAGAGTTGGAATATGTGTTAAAACAGTTTTAAGGAGGTGATTGGAGCCAATTCAGATTGCCTTTGTCTTTTCCACATTCAACTTCAACTTGTTGGCTTTCGCCCAGTCACAAATCTTATCCAAGTCTTCTTAAAGTTTTTCTGTGGCTGATAATAGGTCGGAGGGCAGGAAGGACAGGTATATTTGGAAATCATCAGCATAGATATGGTATTGGGAGTGACGGATCAGGAGGGGAAGGTCATTAATGTAAATAGCAAACAGAGAAGGAGATAGAGAGGAACCTTGAGGGACAACACAAGAGAGGGGGAGGGTCTTAGATGGAAGTTGACCTGGGATGACTATATAAATGAAATGAAAAAATAATTTTTTGGATTAATAATTAGTTGGATATACTGGGACCGATTTGAAAGGAAGGATTTGAACCAACGCAAGGCACTGTTGGATAGAGGAAGATTGTGCAATTTCGTAAGGAGGATGTTATGGTCAACTGTGTCGAACGCTTTGGAAAAATCTAGAAGGATCATGGATTATTTTAAGGAGAGCGGATGGCGTAGAGTAGTCAGGTCGAAAGCCAAATTGGAATGGGTGGATAAGGGATCGTTCTTCTAGGAAGTTGGACAGTTGATTCTGGACAAGGCGTTCTAACGGCTTTAAAATACGGAATAAGGCATATAGGAACGAAAGCCTGATATACTGAAACTTAAATATAGGTTTATCTCTCTTTTATCAGTCAAAATTTGTGTATAAGGTGATTTGTAGATGGTCTATTAATTCTTTTACTTAGCAATGAGTAGGATATTCCATGTGAAACTGTACAAATCCTAAAGAAAAGGGAGACAAAAAAGAAATCCTAAAGAAAAGAGAGACAAAAAAGAAATCCTAAAGAAAAGGGAGACAACAAATTTTATTATCGGTATCGACTAAATTTTGGATATTGGTCGATTTCTATACATTGTTATTGGTTTCCATGTTTATATTGTGATATATACTTCTCTAAGAAATCTATGTGCTACAGATTGTAATTACTGCCATACTTTGACCATGACTATATATATATATATATATATATATATATATATATATAGATACATTCTAAAATATAATAGACATCTGAATGTAGTTAGTCTATTCCAACAGAATAAGATATTCTTATAACATATGCAAATTATTACCAACATTAATATAAACACTTTTCATTCAGAACACCATCATTAAAAAAAATCTTAACCCATACTTACTAGATACTGAAATTGTATTGTCCATTGGTGTTGGTTGATTTTCATCAATAAGATGATCAGGTGACATAACATTGGAATGCCTGCATGAAATAATTGTTTAAAATAGACGATAATTTAATAAAGTACTTATTTATTACAACAGAAATAATAAATATATGTTTTATCACGTTTTAAAATACTGATAGTAATCATAACCAAAACAATTATATAACAAATATAAATATTTGATAAGATGAAATTTATTTTTATTTATTTCCATTTTACAACAAATAATGAATATATTAATTAATAACACAACATTAATAATTTAATGTCATGTATGTGTATTGTTTAAAACAAAGGTAAATAACAAAATGTATGACTTTAACAGAACTACCATTTTTTCTCTTTCTTTTTTAATACTTGTCCTTAATTTCATTCATTTTTAAAAGATAAAATTTCTTTATTTTATTTTAACCAGATTTTAATTGTTTTCTATGTTTACTCCTGTTTAATGGTCGATTAATATTTACATCAATATTATATATATAATTTTTTACCACATTTCATTATGTATGTTTAAAAATGTGCCTTCTTCATAAATATTAATTCTATTTTGTCACACTAAGCTGTTTGTCTTTATCTTGATTCCTTTATGACTAATACCTTTAAGTCCTGTCACATTAACACCCAATCCCTTCTAGCAAATTTTGATGAATTACTAGATTATTTTCACCATAACTTCTATGATACCATTGCTCTCTCTGAAACTTTGTTCAAACCTGATATACCCCCCTCCCCTATCAATATCTGTACCCAATTTTTTTTTCCTGTTGCAATAGGCACTGTGACCGTATTGATGTGGTGTATTTGTCCGTTTTGCAACTAAAATGTTACTTTGGTAGCTTCTGGGTAATTTAATTGGCTTAAAGGATTAATGGACTCACAGCTTCTGGATTATCCACTCGGTCCTCCACAAATAGCTCAAGTTTAAGCCTTGCAAACCTGTCACATTGACAAACGATGTAAAAGGCTGTTTCACTTTCCTGAGGGTTCCTAGTCACTCAGAGATTAAACATGTGATAGTTTAATTTACAATGACAAGTATAGATCGTTGTAAGTTTTTTAAGAGCTGCTCTATCCAAGCTCAGTAGCAGCTTATTTCTTTCACCACAAGGCCCTTTAAGGAACAGCTTCGAGTGCCGTTGTTTCTTTTCAGACCAGTATTGTTTAAATTTTTTGTCATATAATTCCTTGATCCTTCTTTTGGCAGTAATAAGGCTGATTCCACAAACAGCTTCAGGAGTTACGAGAATAGTGTCTGAGCCTAACCTGGCTAGTTTATCAGCATTATCGTTGCCTGGAATGCCCGAATAACCAAGCACCAACTCAATTGCAACCCTGTTTAAGCTCAGCAAGATTGTTAAGGGCTTTACTGCAATCTTTAACAACCCGTAAACAAGTGTGATGATTATTTGAAGCACTTATTGCAGCCTGACTGTCAGTATAGATTATTCTTTTTTCCAGTCACTCGGCCAAGCAATACACTTCGAGCGCAATGGCAAATTGCCAGTATTTCAGATTGAAATACCAAAACATATTTGCTGAGGGAAATTGAAAATTTGTCTTTACGATATATGCCTGCTCCTGAGCCATAATAACAATTTATACCATTTTTTTGTTTTTCAGGGTGGCTACCAAATCGTCGGAGTAAAATTCCCTGACTATTCCCTATTTAATGTAAGTTTTCCCTGACCAATATATATGACAGGGGACACAAATGTTAAAAATGTATAGTTAACTAAATATATAATTTATAATTATTTAATTTATTATACATGATTGAAAATTGAAAGATTAGATTAAAAAAAAGTCTGTTCAGTCCTTTAAAAAACAAATATATTGTTCTAGAGGAAGCATTTTTTAAACTTAATTAATTTTTTTTTTTGGCAAATCGAGAATTTGCAGAAAAAAATTATTTTTGTATCATACGTTATAGTATGCATGTATATATATATATATATATATATATATATATATATATAGAGAGAGAGAGAGAGAACAATATAATAAGGAATAATATAAAAATTTATTTTTACTGCAAATTCTCAGAAATGACAGTATGACAGTTTTAATTTATCTAACTTTTGAACCGTTGAAGATAGATAAACTAGTAAAATTATATATATATAATTTTACTAGTTTATCTTCAACGGTTCAAATATATATATATATATATATATATATATATATATATATATATATATATATATATGGTCCTGACCAAATACCTGTTAAAATGATCAAATGCTGCCTTACGACCTTACTTCCCACACTTCTACACATATAATTTCTCTCTCCAAAATTTCATTTTTCCCAAAGCCTGGAAAAGGGTCGTCATCCGCCCTTTGAACAAAGTTTCTGCTCCTTCATTAGTTTCTGACTTTAGACCTACCTACATTTTATCTAATCTATCCAAGCCTTTAACAAGATTAGTCCATTCCCAGTCGAACAACTCTCTCAAGCAAAACCTTCTCCTCAATCCTTTACAATTCTGTTTCCCCTCCCATTATTACACCCAATCAGCCTTGCTAAAGATTGCCCAAGACCTCCAATCCTCCATAGATAAATAGAAAATCTCCATCCTAATCCATTTCGACTTATCCAAAGCCTTTGATTCTGTCAATCAAAAGATCCTCCTTTTTAAACTCCAAAGCCTGCACATACTAAAGAGCGTCCTAAAATGGTTACTCTGCCTCTTATCCCATCGGTCTCAGACAGTTGCAATTCCGAAGAAACCTCCACCATCATATCTTCAATTAACATGAGGTGTTCCTTAGGGTTCTTCACTCTCTCCGACCCTTTTCCTTATTCATATTAGTGATGTTCCTGACGCCATTTAACACTTCTGTTACCACATATATGCTAATGATTTCCAAATTTACCAATAATTACAACAAAAAATCCATAATTGTCCTTAAACAACTCCTAAGATTACATGATTGTATTCTTCTAAAAACCAGACAGCTCCTTGTAACCTCCCTCATATTCTTCCACTTTGACTGTGGTCTGTGGAGGGCTGCCAAGCAGGCTAGAAATGAGACTGAAGAGACTCATGAGCTGCTTCAGAAGATATGATGCATCTTTGGAATCCCCAGGTGTCCTCATCTTTCCTTCTGGTGCTTCGAGCTGAAGTGGCTTTATCCTACTTCGTGACGGCAATTCTTTCTTGGTGTTTTTCTTTTCCAAGTCCTCAGAACCAAAAACCCTTGCTACATCCTGGAACTTCTTACTCTACGTTCCTCTATCCATTGTCTCAATACCAGATTTTAAACTATAGATTTATATATCCTCTCTCATAAAACTACTTCCTTTTGCAAATCTTTCGTCATTCATGCTACTTCCTTTTGGAACTCTTTATTTATCTCCATACACCAATCCTCGTCTACAAATTCTCTCAAACAACTCCTATTCCACCACCTGCTCCATATCTAAACTTCATCAAAAAATATTTTAAATCTAGTTACTTCTGTATACTGCATAATTCAAACTCCACTATTGTGGTTGCTTCTATATATATACACATCAGTTACTAACAACAAACTTTTTTTGTTGTATAAAACTAGCTAATCAGAAACAACAATCAGTCAATACGAGTACGACTCTAGTTACCCCACATTTTACATGAAGGTATGGTTCTCCCAACAATGTTTAACTAGAATCAGGTTCACTACCTCTATAGTCAATTGATCAGTATATTTTATATATAAGTTTTTGTAACCATCAATCTGATTATTACTTTATTTCATGTTCCTCTAACGATTCTCTTCTCCTCATCCATTGACAGGGTGGCTACCGAATTGTCAGAGTAAAATTCCCTGACATTTCCCTATTTAACGTTAAGTTTTCTCTGACCAATATGTTAGGAGACACAAATGTATTGTTTATAACTATAACTATATATATAATTTATCATACATGATTGAAAATTGAACGATTAGAGTAAAAAAAAGTTTGTTCAGTCTTTTAAAAAACAAATATATTGTTCTAGAGGAAGCATTTTGTAAACTTGATCAACTTTTTTTTTGCAAAATTAAAATTTGCAGAAAAAAATTATTTTTGTAATATACGTTATTGTATGTATGTATGTATGTATGTATGTATATAAATAGAGAGAGAGAGAGTGAGAAATTTAGATGTATAGAGAGTTAGAGCAATATAATAAGGAATAATATAAAAATAAATTTTTACTGCAAATTCTCCGAAATGACAGTACGACAGTAATAATTTATCTAACTTTTGAACCGTTGAAGATAAACTAGTAAAATTATATATATATATATATATATATATATATATATATATATATATAATATATATATATATATATATATATATTATATGTATATAAATATTCTTGAAGAAAATTCAATTGCTAAAAACTTTCTTTCCCATGACTTAATTGTAGAACAAAGCAGTCACGATTTAGCTAGTGAAATGCAGTAAAAAATCTGAGAGAATATGGTAAAATATTTTTTTCCACATTAGCGTTAATTGAGGACGGGTGTCTCGGAAACTGAGAGAGATAGCGAAAAATGGTATATAATTAATCATATAGCATTTAATTATTGATAATTTAATTTTGTATAGAACCTCTTTGTCGATGCGTTAGATAGTTTTCCTGATATAAGCGAAAATCCGAAAAAAAAATTACCTTCTAGGCCCTCCTCCAAACCTAGCTCAGCACCTCACAGTGGGAACTTATGATATGCTTACCTCTTCACTAGTCCAAAAAATTCCCTAAAGTCAAAAATTGATGCCCCGCCATTTCCTTCTTTTTCGGGCATTCATTGACTGGACCTGAGGGGCCTAAAGCTGTGTAAAACACATGTTTCCCGGCAACCTTATAAACTCAAGTTTACATGATAAAATAATTACGAGTTCGCATCCTGGAGCCGGGGGATTTTAAAATCCCACGCCTTCCACCCAGAAAAAGCTTCGTATAGCTTCAATGGCGTTGAAGGGATGGACCCAAATAAAAAAATTAAAAAACTGAGACGTTTCAGGTTTGTACATGCTTTTATAATAGTCCGGGAGCCCGTGGCAAAAAATGTGTCATACTTCATACTATGCTTTGTCAATATAAATCGATCATATCAACAGGCCTGCCTCATGAGAAAAGTTTTTCTGTATAGTTTCGAAGTTTAATCATTAAATTATAATTGCTGTAGCCTTTGAATGCTAGAAGATAAGATAGTAAATTTATATATATTCTTAAAGAAAATTTAGTATTAAACAACTTTCACCCTCATAACTTTTTCATAAAATGGAAAGATAAGGAGTTGGCGAGTCAAACAGTGATAAAAATGCAATGCAAAAATTATGTTTTTTCGAAATAAGTGAATTATGAGGATGAATATCATGGAAACTATAGAATATAGTGAATAAACTAATATAACCATTTCTATTGCAAATTTTGTCAGCTTTTATTTCAAATATCGCACTATTATAGATATAACACATAGTTTCACTGATATACTGGTAAGCGAAAAACTTAAAAAAGTAAACTTTTTGAATCATAAATTCAACTTTTCGACTTGAAATCTTGAGCCTGAGGACTCTAGTGTGATGGAAGTAGAAAAAAGTCGAAGTATAAATGTTATTATTATGGGAGATCTCAATGCAAGGACTGGATGGGACCACAGAAGAGCCCATGGATGTATGGGCTCACATGAAGGTGAAAGAACAATGAACAACAATGGAAGGAGACTAATGGAATTTCATATACACAATGATCTTGTCAAAGGCAATTCCTTTTATCCGCATTAAGTGGTTCATAAGATAACCTTTTCAGTACGGAAAGGAATTGTTAACTGTGTGATTGACTACTTTCTGGATACCAAGGAAAACAGAAGATTCTTCAGACATCAAAGTCATCCGAAGTGTGGAAATCAGGAGTGAGCACATGCTGTTGATAGCAGATAGCAGAATTCCTTCAATGAAAAAGCCTCAGCCAAAAGCTTATGAAAGGATTAAAGTAAAACAGCACCAGGATATTTGGAAACAAATGGATTATGAGAACGATGATGAAGGATTAGATGAACTATGGCTGAAGCTGAAAGCAGCCATATTGGAATCAGTGACTAAAGTATGCGGTGTGAAGAAAGTGTCAGTCAAAAGCAAACATTCGGAATGGTGGAGTGAAGAACTTAGAGCTGTTGTAAAGGAAAAGGAATCTTGTGGAAAATGTTCTGTATGGAAAGAAGCAGAGACAAATATAAACTCTACAAAATTGCTAGGAACAGAGTAAAAGTTGCTGTAAGAGAAGCAAAGAGGAAAGCATGGAAAGAGTTTGGTCGCTCCCTTGATGTTGATCATAGAGAGACTATTAAGCTCTTCTGGCAAAAAATCAAGGCTCTGAGAGACAGAAAGGCAAAACCAGTTAGGAATACAAAGAATGAGAGGGGAGAGTTAGTGTTGGAGGAAAAAGAAATGATGGAGGTATGGCATAGGTATTACTCAAGACAGTTTAAAGGCAACCAGGAAGCAAGTGATGTTCTTGTTGAAAGAAGAATCTTTCCAGAGGACCAAGGAAACGATCCAATAGAAGAAGAGAAGGTTGAGAAGGCTATTGCGAAGATGAAGACAGGAAAAGCAGCAGGCCGAGACAACATAGTCCCAGAATTTATTAAATATGGTGGACCAGAGTTAGAAGGAACTCTTCTAAACTTCTTCCAAAGAGTTTGGGACAATGAAAAAATCCCTAAGGAATGGGAGTTCAATGTTATAATACCCATACATAAGAAAGGAAGCCCAAGTGATTGCTCTAATTACAGACCCATCTACATGTCTCCAGTCCTCTATAAACTATATACTTCCATCTTAGAGAACTGATTAAGACCACTGGTGGAACCTGACCTCTTAGAAGAGCAAAGTGTGTTTAGGCCCGACAGGCAAACAAATGATCACATATTTACTTTGAGAAATGTGATAGAGAAGTCCTAGGACCGAGACCAAAATATTTACCTTGCCTAGCCTGACTTGAAGGCAGCATTTGATTCGGTTCCCCGGAATGAAATTTTGGAATCCTTGAAGGCAAAAATCATCCCAATAAAGCTTTTAAAGGCTATAACATCAACATATCAAGAGCGGAAAGGTGTTGTACGTCTGAATGGAAAAGAGTCAGGAATATTTAGTCTCGAAAAAGCAAATTTCATCTACTATACAATATCCAATACCGTAACCAGAAAAAAAGAAGTGGGGCAGGATGTGAAGCTCCATCTGTTCAAGTCTGTTTTCCTACCAGTACTTCTTCATGGAGCAGAGGGTTGGATTCTGAATAAGAGGTTACAAAGTCATGTTACTGCCACTGAGATGAAGTTTCTTACAAGAATTGTGAGGAAAACGTGGAGCGATTGTGTCCGAAATGACAGGGTCAGGGAGGAGCTGAAGATACGCCCTGTGCTGGAAACTCTAGAGAGGAGACAGCTGAAGTGGTATGGGCATGTCTGCAAGATGGACCACCACAGAGACCCAGTTAAAACCCTGGAGGTAAGGCCAATGGGGAAAAGACCGAAAAGGCGACCAAGAACCTCATATGCTAGTCATTTGGAACGAATTGGATGGTTTTTTTTTCAGGTCTTAAGACTATAAATAATATAAATTAAAAGTGTTGGTAGCTTTATATAACTATCAGCTCTCTCTAAATATACGCTTGCAACCTATGTTAGGTCTCGTCTATCATCACATGGCCGTCATTTTGTATTTCAGCGGCTATATGCTGGCAGATGTCCATTTTTCTCATCAGGCCTGTGGATATGGTTAATTTATAGGGACAAAACTTATAATGAAATGATACCTTTTTTGTCACGGACTCCAGAACTATAAGGAGCACCACGGGTCGGACGAACGGGTGCTTGCCAACCAATGAATTGCTACGACCATTGCCAGATGCTTTAAATAAAAATATAATTTAAATAATATAAAGGTATTTATTGTTTGCTAGTATTAACAGTTAAAAATCAGAAGGCAACTCAACCGTTCCTGAACTATCTGTAAAATCGAATTTTTGAAAAATACAACTAATCTACAATTGGATATCTCTAAACTAAATTTCTGGTTGCTGCAGAGGTCAAAACAGAATATTAAAAGAAAAACTTCCATAAACGACCCCCATTGCCATCATAGCCTACGTTGGACGTATCACTTCCCAAGACTTTTTTTGCCGTCTCGACCGAGGTCATGGATTTTCAATTGTATTTTTAGTGTTAATAATTAATGTGTGAAATAAAGATAGTAATTAATAATGGTTTGGAGTTTCAATTTTTTTATCTCTTGATAAATTAATGGGAGAATGTAAAAAACTATTTATTAAAATGAGATTTTTACTAAGTTGGAATAGCAAAGTGGTTTTATAGTTTATAACAATATTGAAGGACTTATAATAATCAAGGCTGCAGCTTACATTAAAATTTCTTGGAATTACAATATCATATATAACATAATTTTGAATGGATATAGGGATTGTATTTACTGAATCGACTTCTTAGTTTTTTAGAAAAAATGATTGTATTTTGCGACAGTTGAACTCCTAAAAAAATTCTATAACTAACAATTTTTCCTTGACTTTTTCCAATTTTGAAAATCCCCTGACTTTTCCAGGTCGGTCGCCACCCTGATTGAGTCATTATCCTAATTGAACACACTTTGTCGTGACCTTTTGTGTTCACTCTATTTAAACTACCTCGACACTATTCAATTAATTAATGAATTTAAAAACCAATTTTTCTCTGATCATACATTTAGGACACCTAAACATTAAACAAAGAATTTATAATTTAGATAGTAAGATGATAAATTACCTAGTCGGAGATTTTAATTTTTTAATGACTACTTTGGTGTCACCATGTTGAACATGCCATTTTTCATTGGTTTTGTTTTCGGCATTAGGAACAACCGGCTGGGTATGTTTCTTCTTCAATTTCTAATAAAAGGAGAAAAGAATAAATATCAAAGAAATAGTTTGTTTTTTTATCATGTATTAATAATATATTAGGACATTGAATAAGTTCTCGCTTTCTTTGGGTGTGAAAATTAATGCTTTATTTAAAGCAAGTGGTACAAAACATGTGAATCAAAGCATTGTCCACCACTGGTCACTACTTTCTCCCTTCTTCGCAAAATATGAATTCCACAATGGAATTAACAACTTATTCTTATATAAAGTGTCTCCAAGGAATATATAAGCCCTTATACTTTCAAATTTTTTATTTTACTTCCGACGATATTTCATGCTGATTAGCTCATTATCAAACCATCTACAAATAACAATTAAACAAAGATAATTTACAACTTTGGTCACTCATTATTTAGTCATATAACAAGTGAGAACTAACCAAAAACATTTTTTTATTTATTACAATGTATTTCAATATATAATTTCATGAACAATTTGTAGTACACCAAATATCACAGATCTTATGATCCTCGTCACCATATTCCTTAAATGTTTGTGCATTATTTGATGCATGTTCCTACAATAAAAATTTATGTATGCGATTATTTCAGAAGTTATACTATTTCAATTATTGATTATTATAGTTTTATTTAAACTGTATGCTAACCCTGTATGGTACTACTTCCTCCGTCTACTATTAATATGAACTCTTTAGGGATGTATGTCCCACTAGGAATTAACTAACGATTGAATAGGATATAGCTCTGTTGATGTTTATTATTTTCTAATGTCCTATCTAATTAAAAATTTATCTCATTTAATATATGGACATGATGTTGGCCTATATTTTCAACATCAGATTTAAAATTGACTGGGTTATTTATATTTTTAGTAATATAAATTGATTCTAAGGTTTTTCTCATTTTATTGTTTTGTGCCATGTTTAAAACTTATATATTGTTGAAATCAAATATGTGTTTTTTTAATATGCTGTGATTAGATAAAGCTGATCAATTTAATATTTTTACGAGTTTAAACATTCGTTTTGTGTTGTTTTATCCTGTTTCTTAAATTTTGCGATGTTTCACCAATATAATGTTTAGGACATTGTATACAAGGAATTTTATAAATCACGTCTTTTTTATCTATTGCATTGATTCTATCTTTCATATTGTATGGTCCGAATTTGAGTTCGTAATGATCATACTTTTTAAAACCATTTTTTATTTTTTCCAACAATTTCGGAATGTATTTTAATTTGTAGTATACACTATCCAATATGCACTGTATTGTTTCTCTGTATTCGTTTGACTGTCATCCTTTGTTTTTTTTGTTGCCGTCCAACAATTTAAAATAATCCGTTATAAGATTTTTATTTCTCTTATTCATATTATTATTTTATATGTTAAAATTATTTTTATTATTTATACCACAGTTTATTGGCAAATTTATATGGATAAAAATTACTCACCAAAATATTGTATATATTGTTTTTAACCTTCTTCATATATGTGGTGTCCGTAAGTTTTATCGCTTTATTAATCAGATTAATGGCAATATTTATAATCTGATGTTAAGGGTGATTCGAGTAATAATTTAATGAAATATCACTGCATTTTTCTTTCCTGATCTAATATGTTTCTATTTGATTTTTATTTATTACGATATTAATATCCTAATATCTTATAGTATTATTCATAGGTTTTTCCATTTAAATTTGATCTTTTTGTTGCCATTATTTAATAATTCAAAATTTTTTTTTAAATTTGTGATAATGAGTAAGTCATCAATATATTTCAGCACCATAATTGGTTTATCTTTCATTTTATTAATTTTTAAAGGAAGGAGATGGTCCGGGGTTGCGGTCATAAATAGACGAAATAGTTTTACCACTATTTAGCCTATTTATGACAGCAACCCCGGACCATCTCCTTCCTTTATAATGCAACAGTCAACTATTAAATATTCAATATTAATTTTTACCGTTAACATTTTATTTAAAAAAAAAAAAAACACTAATTAGTACTGATAATCTACTTCTTATTACTAGACCATTTGAATGTTTGAAATAATTGTAATTAAATTTCAAAAAATTATTGCTTGAACATAATTTTAATCCCTTCATAAAAATACTTTTATTTTTTATATTTGTTTGATTTTTTATTTAGTTTCAATTTTCCTCTACGATTTTTAAACATTCATCTATTGGTACGTTAGTGAATTCCTTCACGTCAAAACTCATTGTATCATATTTTATAATTGTGGGTTGATGGTTGACTGTAGAGAATAATTGAAGAGAAATGTGGTCGGGATAATCAGTCAAAATAAAAATAGAAAAAATAAATATTTATTTTTACACTGGCCATTGTTTCGACCAGAAGTCAGGCCTTTATCATGGCTAAGAAAAGAACCAGATAACAATAGGTATGAGAAAATATAAACATTGAAAAATAAAAAATTAAAAGGTCTGAACTTCGTAGGTAGAAATAAAACTTAACTTAAAGGAAGTAGATAGAGTGAACGTTAAAATAAAGTACATAGAATAATAACAGTAACAGAGAACTGAGAAATAAATAATAATAACAGGAATAAAGCACAGACCAATGAAATAAACATAATCAAAATAAGGTAACATAAGAAATGAAAAATGGTAATCTTAGAATAAAATGTGAATGAATGGAACAAAACGAGGGGAAACCCAAAATTGAACCCAAAAATTGGAAAAATACATTAATCGAACGAGAAAGGAAGTGCTAAAATCTCATAAAAGAAAACAAGAATCAGTATCTATTATATGGCTAAACAAATATATAGTAGATAGATGAACAGAATATTTTAAGAGGCTGCTAAAAGGGGGTTGAATGCTGGAGCAGTTTGGATGATATTAAGGGGACAATTTTAACAGCAAGAAAGATTTGTTCGAAGCAATTGGCAAGTTAGCTGGTCTAGACGAAGTAAATCAAACTGCACTGTTTAGTGCGTACATAGGCAATAAATGTATTATAGAAAATTAAATGAAAAGACTTTAGTTTTGTCCCTTTACAAGAAAGGAGATACTAGGAAATGTAATACCCATCGAGATTCATTCCTGTTTAGTGTACTAAAGAAACTCTACTTAGGAATCGTAGAAACTAGAATAAGAAATATTGTCGATTACCAGAGCGATATGAATTGAGAAACTCAAGTTGGACATTGGAACAGAAGTTACAAATTGGGACTGTCATCACTTTAATAAGGCAGGTTATAGTGAAGTCCATCAAGAACGAAAAATAGCTCTCTATCTGCTTAGTGCCTCACACTTTGGATTGTGCTAATATCTTATTTATTTATTTATGTATTCCACCCTCCCATGCCACTATGGCAATACGGGTGTTTGCGATAATGTGTTATTAGGCATGAATGCTTAATAACACACTACTACTAGTTAACATGATGTGTATGATGTGCAGTTCTTCTGTTCTTTCTTCTTCTGTTTCGCCCTAGCTTCCAGAATCTGGAGGTCTTCCTGGCGCTTGTCCTCTTCTTCTGCGGGCACCAATATGGAAGTGAGCGGGCCCCACCGCCGTCTTCCATCCATATATGAAATCCTTAAACCGCGGGAAATTTTCCTTGCTGACTAACTGAGGAAACTCATTTTCAGTGAGGATATAGATTCCCACGGCTCTTGTCATAATTGCTCCTAACGTTTCAAATGCGGTGCAGGCCGTGCTCTACAGTTTTCGGAACACTACAGATTGGGCATGGAGGATCTACATCAATGCCCAGACCGTGAAGTTAAGCTCAAATTCCTCCATGCCCAGTGAGGAACTGGGAAATCAAGTAGTCCGGGAGGACCCACTTTGCCTGAAGTCTCGACTGTACTGTGGGAAAGTACTTCCTCAATGTACTTCCTTTAGGAGTTGCTACCCACCGCCGGTTCCATGCTTCAATTATATCCTCCCAGAGTATCTTCTTCCATCTATTAGGTGCTTCCATAATCCTCACCTGTAGATTGACCGAAAGTACTGCAGAGTCTTCCATCTTATAAGAATATTTTGTCACTTCTTCTAGTAGGAGGTCGAGAGGTACCACTCCCACTAGGACCTGCACTGCTTCATGCGAATTGCTAATATCTAATAAGTCTTTCAGAAAAGCTTGTTTTCTTTTCAGATTCCTTCAAAAATCTTTTGCAAATGCACTAAACAGAAGGAGAGCTATTTCCCTTTATTGATAGACCTCTCAACAACCTCCATCAAAGTGAAGATATTTTCAATGTGCAACTTCAGTAATAATTGAAAATAAAGTTGTTTTCACCATAATAAACCTCTTTATTTTGTCCAGACCTGCTGACTTGCCAATTGCTTTGAACAAATCTTTCTTGTTGATAAAATGGTCTTCACCATAATAAACCTGCATCGTTCCCTTAATATCATCCAAAAAACTGCTCAAGCATTTGAACCGCTTTTAGCAGCATCTTAGAATATTCTGTTCATCTGTCTACTATATATATTCGTTAAGCCATACAATGGTTACTGATCCTTGTTTTCTTTTCTGAGATTTAGGCACTTTCTTTCTCGTTCGCTCAATGTATTTTCCAATTTTTGGGTTCAATTTCGCGTTTCCCTCATGTTCAGACCAAATACTAACAATCAGTTCCGGTTATCAAGAAGAACTTATAGCTTCGCCCTATGACTCCATCTTTCTTTGAGCAGAGAGAATAATGCATTTAATATTAAAATTTCCTATTTTTTTATAACATGGTCCAACTGAGGTATTAATATCACTCATTTCCAAGGAAGTATATACAATTTCAATTACCTCTAAGAATCAGTTAATATACAAAACAAAATGTTAAATTGCAAACGTTAAATTAAAAATCCAAGATATTCAGCTAAGTATTTTTGAATAAAGTTTTATTATTATAATTATATCATTTTTACAATAGAGGCCTTCTTAAATGACCTCCGTATAGTATAAAAGAAATTCAATTTTAAAAAATAACTAAAAATCTAAAAAAAAAATTGTTCAATTTTTTTGATAATTAAATT